TTTCGTAGAGAATTTCTGAAGACTAAACTATCCTGAGTAGAGCCAATCGGGTCCAAGAATTTTTGAACCCGCACTCGGATCCGGTCGACTGAAATTCATTGGACCCGGACCCGGTTGATTAAAATTTGTTGGACTCAGATCTGCTGGATTAAAATTTGTTGGATCCGAACCCGGATGATTGAAATTTGTTGGATTCGGACCCAGTCGATTACAATTTGTTGGACCCGGTCGATGAAAATTTGTTGAACCCTGACCCCTTCGATCAAAATTTGTTGGAGTCACGATTCACGTGTTACCGGTAACTGCGAGTTACCTGGTGCCAAGTAACGGTAACTTATATGCCTTGTCGGTGGCTGACCAGTTATTTGAAGTGGCTGTTAATCAATGGCTTTTTCAAAATCGATGCCGGTGATTGTTCTTCTTTCCATAATTAGTTGTTTTATGTTCTCTTAATTGGAAGAACAGAGAATAATCGAGGTGTTGTTGTTATCGTGCTCGTCCGTTCTATAAATTGACGATCTTTTTCATGTGAACACATCATTCGTTACAATTTATATATCATGCCACCAAAATCACTTAAAAGATTATCATCGTCAAAAAAACAACAAGAAGTGCCATGCACAGAGACTTTTCTTAATTATTTATCAGCTGATCAAGCAAAAGCCTAGGGAGAAGAAATAATTCGTGCATTCAAGTATACTGACTTAATCAATCATCATCATTTACCATCAGAACTGAATATAAATCAATTAAAATCGTTAAAAAGTATTACACATTATGACGGTGAGAAACTTTCTTATGCTTTCAAACAATTTCTATGTCTGTTATTCTAGGAAAATTTTTTACAAATTAGGTGCAATGTAAAATTAAACAAGAGTATATTAATAATCCTCCAAGAAAACATCCAGATGTAAAAATTAGTACGAATCGTTCACGGTGGCCATCTGTATCACAACATTTTACCAAATTTTGCTCATCAGGTTCTGTCAAGCCCCTTACCATATTGATTCACCACATAGTTTTACGTGGAAAAGAAGAAAAACAGCTTCCATTACTCTCTCAATATGATAATGAACACCAAGGTTTGTTTTTATTCGAAACGAAACTTTAGAAAAATTATCTCAATTATTGTAGCTTCGCATTTATGTGATACACACGGTTGTATATCAACAGATCATCTATGCGTGGAAACAGGTGACGTGAACAACTCTCGACGAGACTGCTTTGGAATAGTTCTTCAAATTCACCGCAACAGCGCTGAAATCGATACTGTTACAAATATCATGCCATGTCCTCACGGAGAAGATAAAGAAAAAGCCATGGACGAACAATTGAACAACAGTTTCCGCAAGATATGTGTAACAATAGTAACAGATAATAATGTTCATAAATATAAATAATTTATTTTTTCTCATTGTTAATAAATGTTTCTTTTTCACAATTGCTCAATAAAAACAACTTTCATCTCAAACAAGCACATACCTCTTGAACAAACAAGCAATGCATATCAATCCAATTTTTCAATTGGATGAACAGATGCAGCATAAGGCGTTTGAAAAGAATTTCCATCACTCCAATTTTGTACAAAAAGCGTAACATTATTCTCTTTCTCGTAGAAAAGAGTCTTGCAAGAATAAATTGTTTGCTTGCTTGATTGTATGTCCGCACTTCAGTGATTGATCCAAAAATAAGCTCAACATAAAAGGGATTAGTTTCTATAAAATTTGACCAAAGGGCAATCGACGGTGTGGAATTCGAATCCGAGGTTAGTTTTAACTAATTATGAACTAATTATTAATTAATTATTCACTAATCCTTAAATATTAAGAGTGAATACTTGAGAAAATCAGACACTATAGGACATGGACGATGGAGTGATATTTCACAATTCGCTGATTTTTTGATATGTTATAGAGAGTAGTGAATTTAGTATTTCCTGAAATTTTCAGCTCGATTGGACCACCTTTTGCAATACAAACAATCGAAATACTAACGAAATTTTTGATAATTTCTAATATTGATTCTTAACTGATTTTGAGGTGGTATTTTTTAGTAAAAGTGACTTTTATATTTTAATATCTAAGACTTTTGAGTTCTAGTTTTTCTAACTATAACTATTGAGGTATTCTTCTTCTAGGTACAAAATTTCAAAAGTTTTTGTCAATTCCATAACATACCCTCAAAAAATCTATTTTGTCGTTTTTTTACCAAAATGTCGGCCAGTCGCATTTTATGCAGCAACAAGCAATCGCTCTGATATTTCTACTGGTGATAGAGCACATCAAGTTCTACCACGTAGGCTGTCTCACAATTCTGGCCCTTGAGAAAAGTAAAGCACTTTTGATTAAAAGTCAGTTTTCTCTGCAATTCATGTTATATACTCAATTTAGAGCTTTTTTCGTGGCTAAATCCGGTAATATCAAATAGTAAACTCTTTAGATTTGAATAAAATGTAATTCTTTTAGTGGCTTGTATTATTATTGATTATTTATTAATATAAATAACAAGAAAGTCTAATAAATTTTAGTTTATCAATTTATTATCAAATATTTAGAAATGAATGACTCTTGTCTTTTTTACCTTTATATGGATAGTATGAGAATATTTCATATATCTATAATCAGATATGTTTACAAATGAATATATTTCAAGATCTTTATCTATTCCTCGTCATTCAATGTGTAGATTATATATTATATATATATACAATAATCAAAATGATAATGAAACGGGGAATAGCGTACATTTCAGCTGTTGAAGAATTTTGTAGGAGAATATTCAAGAATCGTAAAAAACATTTTTTCATAAATTCTTGATTTTAATTTTGTTAAGAGTCTTTTTGAGGAATTCGGTAAAATTTATAATATTGTATCCTTTGTCTTCAAAGAAATATTCTCAGATGATTGTCGCAGAAGAACAAAAGACATTATTTTAATTCTTTTCACATTTATTTCAATGAAGGAGGCTTTTATAGTGAACATAGAATAGAACTATATCCGTAACATACAAAAAATAGAAAAGTGTAACACTGCTAGAGAGCATTCTAACAAGATATATTCGTTTCTCTATCGATGTGTATATATTTGTTCTTCTTTCTTTCCTCTTTCTTTTCTTCTCTGCGGATTACCTATATTCGTCTTACATGTGTATCTAGATCATTCTTTTTTTTCTTTTCTGTCCATGAGAATCATTGAAATTCTCATAGTATTTGTTGTTTTATTTTTTCTTTACTTGCTGCGCAGTTGGACAAGAAAATACATGGGGTCATTTTCTTTATTTTCCTTTGTCTTTTCCATCTCTCTTCTCTTGGGATGTGCGCATTTGATGATATTTAAAAGGAGAGATATATATAATTTTATTTTACATTTCACACTATATTATCTGTTGATTACTTATTTACAAACATTTTGTACTATGTCAATGACGGAAAAATTTTCTAAATGCGTCTTTCATAAACGAGGAAAGTGCGATGTATTTTGGAGTAAAAATGGTGATATTCATCAAGAATTAATTAGTTTATCAATGCTCAATAGATCACTGTATCAACATAGCCTCGATATAGGTGTTGATCTGTCTTCATTCACAGAGAGATCACTTGTTATGAATCGTATGGGTGTCCCTGATATATGTAATGATAATGATATGATTTGCCCTTATCATCGTTATTCATATGGGGTGTTCTGGCGACCATCTTCCCTATGCTAGTCACCTTATCATAATCATAAAAGACCAAAAGCTACACATTCATTGCCTGCAGATTACTACACGAAATTAATTGAAATAGAAATTTTCAAAGGTAATAAAAATTATGAATTTCCAATTGGACAAAAGGTTTGTCGGAAATGCTCGACAAAGATGAAGTCCGATTGTAATAACAAGAATAATGCAACATTAACTGATGAAAATCCATTTTCGACAACTCGTTTTTCAAAAATTCAAGCCCAAGAACGACTACAAGAGTTTACAATATCTAATGATGTTGAATCTGAATACGAATCTCAATCCAGCAGTTGTTCTTCAAATTTCATGTATACAGAAATATCATTGAATGATGTTAATCGGTTACTAGCGAAGTTTTCCAACAACATCAAACCATTAAAGTATCAAATTCGGCAGCCGGTTCGTGATCTGTCCAATATCACCATTCGAGAATTAAAAACGTCATTATAAATCTATTCTCAATGAACTATTGACTTTTATTTATGAATCTATGGCACCTGGACAAGATACAGATCTTCTTGATACATTCAAAGAAACTGTTGACAATGATACTGATGAAGAAAAACTCGATCCTGTTATGTAATCAATTGTTGATGCTTATTACTTTGCTCCAAGTGGTCAATGGAAATTGCTTCCTCTATCCATAGTACCACAACACTTTACTCATAAAGAATTACAGTCGATCTTCAATTGTAGCCGTTATATGATTGATATAAGTCGTTATCTTCGTCATCAAAATGATCAATTTAATTTCATGAACCGAAAAATTATTCGACGAGAACGTCTCAATAAACATCGACTCGAATTGTTTTTTTATTTTTTGTTTTCATCTGGCTTAATTCGAGATGTTGCTTATGGTACTATATTTATACGATTTGATCGAGATAATGAAATACTTATTCCACATGTTGTTAGGACTATGATGAAAAGCAACATATTTCAATTATATCAGCTGCATTGTATGAAAACCTCGTATGTGCAACCACTTAGTCGTAGGACTGTATTTCGTCTACTAGATGCATGCAAAATGCGAGAAAAAAAGACAATGTGTGGATTAGACAGTTTTTCGGTGGATGGAAATGCTGAATTTGATACTCTTCAACGTTTAGTAAAGGAATTACAAGTTAACAACACCGAAGAAAAAAATTTACTACAACTTATTAAATTAAGTCGAAATTACTTGAAATTTGAATATCGGCAGAATGTTAGTCAAGATGATACTGATTGTGCAACTCAAGTCATGTATTAAGTGTAATTCTCTACTTGCTTTACGTCGTCAAATGGAATATTTAGTGGGTGATGTTCCACCATCAGACAGCAAAGATGAACTTGAAGTAGATCTATTAACTGCCAAAGTCGATATTCTTTCATGGATGTTTCATATAATTCGAGGTGTACAGCAAGATAAAAGTAAAAACTTTGTTATGTCTCAACTAGATTCAAAAAGTGGTCTTCTATTATTTGACTGGGCAATGAAGGTGTTACCACAAATGCATCGAGAGAAAATGAATGAGTGGTTTGGAAAGAAAGGAATTTCTCTCCATGTTGATGTTCTTTTCTACATGGACAAAAATCATGCTCTTAAAAAAAATGACATGTTTCACAGTAATTGATCGATGTCTTCAAAACATGTCATCAGTTCTATGCATCTTTGAACATGTAATTGATCAAATTAAACAAGATTTATCTGATTTAACTACGTTATACATACGTAGCGACAACGCTGGTTGTTATTCTGGTACAGCAGCTATTATATCTTGTCAAGTTATATGTGCTAGTGCTGACATTTGTTTGAAGAGAGCTGATTTCAGTGAACCATAACGAGGCAAGGATCAAGCCGATCGCAATATTGCCGTGGCAAAATCCTGTCTCAAGGCGTATACAAATCGTGGTGGAAATTTGATGAATACAAAATCCATCAAAGAAGCACTCGATGAATCTTTTGGCAATTTATCTGGTTGTAAAACATCAGTTATTGCTATTGATGAGTCGAAATGTATTTTGCCAAACATGAAAATAGAAGGTATAAGAAAATACCATTCAGTTGCATTTAATGACAAGTCGATTACCTTATGGCAATATTTTGATATTGGTAGTGGAAAGTCGAAGAACTTGACAGATTGTAAATGTATTTTACACACAATAGTAATATTACCGTTCTCAGATACTCAAAAAACAAACAAAGAATTTCTAATGAAAAGTACTCTATCTTCAGCAATTTTCTTCTGTTCGGCTGATTCATGTTCAGCAACATTTGACAATGAAGAAAAACTTATGGATCATGAACAAAAAGCCGAACACTTTTATACTGATGATTATTCCGTATCAACAATTGATCGTGCTCAATATATATATATATCGAGCATTTAAAAGGCGCGCGTCTTCTGGAAGAAGCATCCAACAGAACAGCAGTTGAATCTCTTCAAAATTCCAATATTGAAAATATTCAATTTAGTGACAACGATGATGAGCTTAACCGAAAATTCTCATCACAAGGGTATGCTATCCGTCGAAGACCAAAGTCAACGAAAATTACACAAGAACATCAACAATTTTTTGTAAAACTGTTTCACCAAGGTGAAAATACTGGTAAGAAAGTCACAGTTGAAAGTGCATTTCAAGAAATGCGTCGTGCACTGAAGTCGGACAATACGAAACTCTTTACAGCTAATCAATACTTAACTAAAAATCAAATTCGTAGCCTTTTTGGCCGCTTATCAAAAGAAAGATCAATTGATAGACGAAGTCAATTCATATACAACGATGAATAGGACCAACAACAAGGATCTTACGAAGAATCGACAAGCAGCGATGAAGATGATGCCAAAAATTATTTTAGAAAACAACAAGATAAAGAATTAGAAGATTTTGCAGCTGATGAAGTCAATAATACATTAAAGTGCTGTAGTGATAATGAATATGACACGGACCAAATGGATCAAAATTAAAATATCATTACTTTTTGTTCCTATGCTGTCATATACTTTTTTTCTAGATAAATGAACTATATTAAAAATATATGAAATCTCAAGAGTGTAGCTTGACATCAATAGCTAATTAGTGTCAGAAGTGCTTAAAACACATTCATTTGTAAACATATCTGATTATAGATATATGAAATATTCTCATACTATCCATATAAAGGTAAAAAAAACAAGAATCATTCATTTCTAAATATATGAAAATAAATTGATAAACTAAAATTTATTAGACTTTCTTGTTATTTATATTAATAAATAATCAAGAATAATACAAGCCACTAAAAGAATTACATTTTATTCAAATCTAAAGAGTTTACTATTTGATATTACCGGATTTAGCCACGAAAAAAACCCTAAATTGAGTATATAACATGAATTGCAGAGAAAACTGACTTTTAATCAAAAGTACTTTACTTTTCTCAAGGGCCAAAATTGTGAGATAGCCTACGTGGTAGAACTTGATGTGCTCTATCACCAATAGAAATATCAGAGCGATTGCTTGTTGCCACATAAAATGCGGCTGGCCGACATTTTGGTGAAAAAACGACAAAATAGATTTTTTGAGGGTATGTTATGGGATCGACGAAAACTTTTGAAATTTTGTACCTAGAAGAAGAATACCTCAATAGTTATAGTTAGAGAAACTAGAACTCAAAAGTCTTAGGTATTGAAATACAAAAGTCACTTTTACTAAAAAATACCACCTCAAAATCAGTTAAGAATCAATATTAAAAATTATCAAAAATTTCGTTAGTATTTCGATTGTTTGTATTGTAAAAGGTGGTCCGATCGAGCTGAAAATTTCAGGAAATACTAAACTCACTACTCTCTATAACATATCAAAATGTCAGTGGATTCTGAAATATCACTCCATCGTCCATGTCCTATAGTGTCTGATTTTCTCAGACACTTACTCTTCAGCATCGTATTTGATATGGATGCTCTATCTTTGCCAAAGATATTCTCACTTATTAGCTCAATTATTAGCCTAATTATCATCATTCATTTCATTGGTATAATAGATAGGAGTTATACAACTTCTAGCTCAAATGTTCTTGGAATATATATATATACATATATAAAGTAGGTCCATGTCAAATTCAAGTAAAATAAAATAGATAACTAAGAAAATTTTACTGTTCGCTGATGTACTTATTTATCATAAGTACTCTAATTAGCTATACTTTGTCGAGAGTAGAACAATAAATGGATTGAATAAAAATTCACTTATTCACATATAAAAACATAACTTGCTAATAGGCAAATTAGATACAAGACACAGCAATCTTTTTTCCTTCAATAGGAAAGGCAAACCTTTGAAAACTTATATGAACAATGTCAAAGTTCAACCTACCAATATAGCTCAAAGTATTGATGGGATATTGATGAATGACACAAAAGAAATCGAATTTTTATATTGAAGATGAATTGGAAATTTAATGAAACACTTTCAAAAGATAAAAATGATCATAGGAACTGAAAATTTTTCATTACAATAAGCTTTACAAATCAAAATGTAGAAATAAAATTATTTTAATATTTTAAATTGAATTCTCAAATATATGACAAACTAACAAAAATATCGAAGGAAATCATTCACTGTCATTTAAATTCAATTGTTCTTTTTATTAAATTAGTCTTCGAATGCAAGATTGCATGCATCTATAAACGTAAAATTATTGATTATTCATTTGTTTAAGATGATTGATATAATTCTGAACTACTTAGAGCAATATTAAGCTCCGATCCACCAGCAACTAATACATTTCCATCTTGTAAAACGGACGCTGTATGGCTAGATCGTACATTATTCATACTATCGGTTGTTGTCCAAGTTTCTGTTGATGGATCATACAACTCAGCACTATTTGAATCACCGACAACTAATACTTTTCCATTTGTTAATACTGATGCGGTGTGTATTTGCCGTCCATTGTTCATACTACTAGTCGCTGTCCAAGTGCCTGTTGATGGATCATACAACTCAGCAAGATTTATAGAAACAGCATTATTCAGACCACCAGTTACTAACACTTTTCCATCTGGTAATAAGGATGATGTGTGATAATATCGTGCATCATTCATATTATTTGTCATTACCCACATTTCTGTTAATGGATCATACAACTCAGCACTATTTGTAAGACCAGTATTACCCGTTCCACCAGTAACTAACACGTTTCCATTTCTTAACACGGATGCTCTGTGGTCTCGTCGCGCATCAATCATACTACCAGTAATTGTCCAAGTTTCTGTTGATGGATCATACAATTCAGTACTATTTCCAGTGTTACCAGAGCGTCCACCAGCAACTAACACTTTTCCATTTGCTAAAATAGATACTGTGTGTCCTACTCGTGCATAATTCATACTACCAGTCGTTGTCCAAGTTTCTGTTGATGAATCATACAACTCAGCAATATTTAGAAGTTGAGTACCATTATATCCGCCTGTAACTAATACTTTTCCATCTGTTAATAGGGATGCTGTGTGACCTCGTCGTGGATAATTCATACTGCCAGTCGCTGTCCAAGTTTCTGTTGATGGATCATATAATTCAGCATCATTCAGATAAAAACTTAAATTATGTCGTCCACCAGTAACCAACACTTTCCCATTTGTTAATACGGATTCTGTATGCTCAAATCGTGCGATATTCATGCTACCAGTGTTACGCCATTCTAAAAGAACCGCTTGAATATATTCGGGCTGAAAAGTGCAGTATCATCAAACATACAAGATTTTCTGTGTCTAAGTGAAATGTTTAAAAGTATTGTAAAACGAAACTTGTTTCTTACTCGAAGTGGAAAAACTTTAAACATTCTGTAGAGTAAAAGAAGGTTTCAATTTAGTTGCATGAGATTCTTTATCCTGTGATAGGGAGACGTGGAACAATTTTCCATTATCATTAATAGACTTTTGATATAGATGATCAATAAAGACTTTTACTTTGAGTCAGTCATTCTATCACCCATATGGATTAACCTCTTTTTTCAATTGTGTACGAACCCAGGTAGCTATAATCGAAGAACACAAAGTGTATTGATAAATGAGAATTTCTTCTACATTTCCTCATGGTTTCCCGATTCTCAGATTCAAAATAGCGCACTGCTCAAGATAAATGTCGGGCTCACACCAAGATCAGTGGAACCCTCTATTAAAACAAATTTTATGATTACAAAAAAATATTTTAGAAAATGCATTACTCAGCCTATTAGAGATAATGGAACTGGGAAAGAACTTATGGTTTTTCTTCGATTTTCCAATAAACTATCGTAGTGCTTGTAAAAGTCGTTCAATAATTGAGAAATTTCTACGTCTGAATTCTTGAATACTGTTAACCGTTATATTTCTTTACTAACAAAGTGCATTTAATCATATGGACCCATGTCAATGATTTCAGACTTCAGAAGGAAGCCGAAACCATTGAAACTGACCAGAAAGATGCAAGACAGTTATTGTGTGCGGCAGGAAAATATCGAAAACCGATGAAACTTGGAGGCAATATTTTGAGGTCGGAAAGTTTTCGGATTTCCCCTATGATATTCGACTGTTGCCCGCCGAAAAGAACAAAAAATTACACAGAAGTCACTGTAAAAATCTGAAAACTCCTACAAGGAATCCTGCCTCGAAATGTGGGTATCGGTGCGAGTGGAAATGGGGCGTTGGATGTGGGCGAGGATCTTCCATTTACCCGTACTCACATCTATACCCACACTTTCAATGCGCAAGTGACTGTTGCTAAGAAGAGATAGATGAAGAACAGATTCTCCTATGCTCGAATCTCACCTGTCATCTCTGTTGTAGTAGAAGTGACTGCCGAAATTACATCAGTTATTG